TCTCTTCTGATCACCAATCCACTCTCGCGTGCATGCACACACACTTTTTTTTTTCCAGCTGTCTGGACATCCCTTAGGCTCATCAATTTGGTACCTAAGATGAACCACTGCAGAAGCCATATAAAAAATAATAATTGCTGCTTGGCTTTAAACTTGTAAATATGATTCATTAGTAGACTGTTGAAACCCAAGTAGTGTTTTTGGAAAAAGTGAACAGAACAAGATAGAAAGTATCAGCGTGCAGGGTGTGTATGAAGGCCAGTATGATTTCATCAGCATCTGAATATGGCTTTAAGATACTGTGTACCTGGCTCACAGTCTGTATCTCTTACTGGAGGTGACAATTCAAACAAGAGTGTACAACTCCAACTTAAGGTCAACTGTAAAACTGCAGGACCGGCTTACCAAGCCCATCACGTGAATCTCCTTTGGCTGAAATGGAAATCATCAAATGCCATGCCTGGGAAGCAGGAGTCCTTTCCCTGTGCTCTGCCATGGAATGGGCACACCTGGTGTGTGAGCCTGTCAATAATGACGAACATCTGTGGACAGTCCATGTTCTAACTCCCCTGTGATGGAGATCAGATTGTCTTATTTTATAGACGTAGGCAGGAGGCTATCACTTTCCCCGGGGTGTGGGGCTGTAAGTGGCACAGTACACCTTGAAATTCAGCAGAACCCCTACCTCCTAATTCAGCTTGTTTCCCACGGAGCCTTGCGAAGGCTGTCAACTTTGCGGTGTAAATTGTCTCCTTTGGCATACGTCTGTACATTGTTCAGTATTCTAGTTTTCAATCGCTCCGACTACCCAAACTTCATGGCATTAAGCAACCTTACTTTATTGTGCTTACAGAATTGGAGGATCAGGAATTTGGTCACATTATCAAAGGGGAGGCAGTTCTCTCTGTGAAGCTTGGAAACACTCAACAGCTGGAGGGTACTTGAGGGTTGGGTATGCCAGTCATCTGGAGGCTGCTTCATTTCCCCATCAGGTGCCTCGACTGAGATGCCAGCAAAGCTGAGATGGCTGACCTCAGTATCTCTTCTCGAGGTCTCCATGTACCTGGGCTTGATTCTGGGGCTGCCGTCTCCTTTGGAGGAGACATGGAAGACAAGCACTCCAGGTGAGGACAATGTACTGCCAGCCTTTTCCTAACCAGCCTCGGATGTTATTGTCAGTTCTCCCATTATTTTCTCTTGGTTGGCAGATCCATCTAGATTACCAAGGAGGGGCCACAGGCTTCACTTCTTGATATAAAAGCACTCTCTATGAAATTTTTAATTTTCTTAGTTTTCAACCAGTGCGTACAAGCTTTCTTGTTGTTGGGACAACTGGATTTCCCTTGGTGTGGGAGAGTGAGTGGCTCAAATTCTTCGTGATGCATAGGGCACTTTGTGGTTAATAATCTGCTGTTCATTATAATGATCTGTAGTCCCTAGAAGAGTAAATGAGCTGGAACCACAGATATATTTACTGCCTTAATTTAGTCGCCGGCATTAGGCTTCCTTTAAAGTAGTTTCTCTCCATTTGGGTGGAATTTCTTTTATCCAAGCTTATCTTCAGTGTCAATAAGTTTAGCACTCCTCAACAGCTGGAAGCCCAGATATTATACATCTCCCCTCCTATTAATCTTCTGTAAGTTGATCTTTATAGCTATGGAGCCCATTCGTCACCGTGAGCTGTCCGCTTACATTTGTACGGTCTTCCATTTAGCTAACTGAACTCGATTTCTTTATCTAGACTGAAGTTCTTTGTCATTTTAATAGTTTATAGAGTTCTCCCTCGGAGCCGCCTCTGAGTGTCAGATTGTCCACAAAGAACAAATGGATGCTAATAATGTCCCTCGTTATGTTTCATCTTAACCCATTGCTAAGGCTCTCTGGTAAAGTTATCTCCAAGAGTTGTAGGATAGTCCATGTTCTGTAAGAACACTTATGATCTGGCAGTTTTTCTCTGAAGAGGACCAGACACCACGCTTCATTTATCGAGCTCATCTTACAAAACCTGAAACTCGGCTTTATTCATCTACGTTTCCCAGATTTTGTGCAGGCAAAGCGCAATGAAAGGTTTTTAAAAACTCCGTGTGAAGCCGGGCAATGGTGGCGCACACCTTTAATCCCAGCACTTGGGAGGCAGAGGCAGGTAGATCTCTGTGAGTTCGAGACCAGCCTGGTCTACAGAGCTAGTTCCAGGACAGGCTCCAAAGCCACAGAGAAACCCTGTCTCGAAAAACCAAAAAAAAAAAAACCAACAACAACAACAAAAAAAAAAACCTCCGTGTAATGGGATAATATGACACAGAAAAGGACAGTCGGGTTGACAGAGCAAAGAGGGAACTGAAGGAAGGCGTGAGGGAAATGAAACAGCAAAGACAGAGATAGGTTCCTGGTTCAGATCTTAAATGCCCGCCGGAAGTCAACATGCCTAAGGCTTGGTCCTCACCTGACTACAGTTTTGGGAGGTGACAGAAGCTCTGAAGTGTGGGATGGAATAGCAGGAAGCTGGGTCACTGAGGATGTGCCTTAGGAGACACTGTCCCATCTTCTCTCTGCTTCCCAGACACCATGAGATGAGTAGCCTTGTTGCGCTGTGAGTTCCCCACCATGACCGTCTACCTCGCTCCTCTGTTATTCCAAAGCCACAGAACCCAAGGGATCAAGGAAAGACCCCCAAAACCTTCCCTCCTCTAAACTGGGTTTCTCAGGAGCTTTTCCAAGGGATGCCAAGTAACAGATGCAACACGGCTCTCATCAGAAAAAGCTAGTGAAGTCCTGAGCCCCACCAGGGTAGGAGGCCATGGTTCTCATTACAGATGGGAAGCGAGAGCAACCAGGACATGAAAAATCCAAACCAGGATGCCATTATCAAGGTGCTGGATGCCCTAGCTCTAGGGCACACATGCCTCTGTCTCTCTATACCCAGGCGAGGATGACTTTGGGAGCAAGTTCAAGTCACCCGTGCCAGCTCCCGGGCTAGCTAAAGACTGAGAGTCACTGTACAGGGCAAGCCTTCTTGGGAGAATGGTTTTTGTTTGCTCATTCTAGAAGTAGTTTGCACAGCGCGGGGCTGGGCAACGGTGAGAATGTCACGAGGAAAGCCAAGACTGAAGATGGACACCAGCTCAATCTTTGCCACAATCTGGATGCCTGACAGCTGCCACCACAAATGGGGGTGGGTGGGTGGGCAGGCTGCTAGGGACAGCTCACACAGTGTCAGGGCAGCAGGGCATTTTCTAGTCACCGTGGTCAGTTTGGCTGGGAAAGTGGATGCAACCTTCCATTTCCTTCCAGCCTTCAAAGGCTGTGTCCTGGAGTCATGTGATTAGGAGAGCCAGGTCCAGAGGGTTCTGCAGATGTGCCGGTCCTGAAGTACCTGTGTGAAGCTCCGCAGGCCTCTGCGAAGAGAAGAGTCATTCTGCTTTCTGTACATTCAGCTAATTCTGCAAACCAGCTAGGGCTGGGCCCCTTCCGTCCTCGGAAAACAGGGCCACAAATCCTTTGGAACAGCAATCTCTCTGGGCTTCAGTCATTCTACTTTTCCCTTAAGGTAGGCTAAGGGCATACAGTGCCTTCTCAACCTTTCTAGGCCAAGTACTCTACATGCAGAAATGCCTCCCGCAGCTCCATCAGACAGATTCCATCCACACTCCCAGTTTTTCCCATTGAGAAAATAAGGCACAGAGTGGCCAAGTCATTTGCCCAAGGGCACACCCCTGAGAAGGGGTGAAGGGCTGAAAGCCAGACAGGCTGAGACCATAGTCTTCATCTTGACCTGTCTACCCAACTCCTCCCTGAATCAGTCACCAAAGACACCCCTCTGCTCTGCCACTGGGAGGGATAAGACACACAGAGAGGCTGGCTGGGTACCCTCAGCATGGCCTGAGTCTCTCCTTAGAATGCTGCACCAATTAAGGAATAGGCAGGAACCAATTCTTCAACTCAAACACGTGAAACTTAAATGCAGACCAAGGCTGGGTGCTTCAGCATTAATCTCATGCTGTGTGTGGACTCCAGGACACCAACCAAATCACTGCAGGAAATTGGATTCTCTTGGAGGATGCCAGGCCCCACCCTTAGACTCCAACTACCTCTGCGGCTTATAACCTGCCTGCACTTGGGTTCCTAAGGCTAAGGACTGAACCGAAGCCCTTGGTATTTAAGCCAACATTCTGCTTGTCGACCTGTCCCGTCTCCCCCCCCCCCCCCCCACCACCACCAGGGATGGCTTCAGTCACATTTGGCAGAGTCTAGAACAGAGCCACAGCAGCTTGGCCCTTGGTGGGTCAGTGTTGCTTAGCTCATGGAAGGCATATCAAGAGCCTTTCCACTACCAACTCGGAAACAAATTGTTTGGTTTCTTTCCCCAAGCCAAGTGGCACAGGTGAAGCCTTTAGCACAGGCCTGGGGATCCAGGATGCTCTGAAAATAGCATTAGTTAAGATGACACTAAGGGATGGAAACTGACATAGCCATTGTGCTTTTTGAGTGAAGTGGACGGGAAAATTCTGGCGTCTCTTGAGGCTGAAGATGGCTTTTTACACTATTCTCCTCCTTTGACTGAAAAAAAAAATAACAATACAAAGTTTCTAAAATGTGAAAAAAATCTTTTCACCAAGACACAAAAGACTGAGCCAAGCCACGGAGTTACTTTTTATAGCAAGATGCCTATGGAAGACTCATGCCCGGCAGATCTCACCTGCCCAACTCCCCAACCTTGGCTGTCCCCATAGGTACTAGGGGTAGTGCTAGAGCAGAAGACGTGCCACAAGAGGAGGGTCACAAAGGGCTCAGACCCCGCTGTCACCTCTCAGAAGGCTGTCGCCAGCGCCTTCGGCCACTTAACCTTCAGGTCTGTTTGCCGGTGGAGGTGGATGGGCTGGCTGGTCTGGGGCAGAGGTGTGCCGGCACCGAGGGAGGCGGGGCCGTTGGGAGCCAGGCGGCTGGCGGGGAGTCTAGCATGTTCCTGGGGTTGCTGGCGGACGCGGGGGTGGGTGGAGACGATCACGATTGAGGAGGAACACACAGGCGCACTCACCGCCTTCCTCCTTCCCTTCCTCTTCCTCCCACCCCGCCCCCAGGGGGGCGGTACCCTGGTCCCTGGGGGGAGGTCTGTACCCCCGGAGGGTGGCGGCCCGAAAGGAGGGCTAAGGTTGGGGCTGCTGCGGTGGGTGGCAGACACCACGGGCCCCTCCCCCGCGCTCCCTTGCTGCCTCCTCTTGCTCCCCGTCCCTCCTCCTCTCCATCCTCTCCATCCTCTCCATCCTCCCCATCCTCCTCCTGGTCCCCGGCAACCGCGGCTAGGGGAGCAGCCGGCGGCACCCGGGCCGCTCAGCCTTTGTCTCGGGCCTCCGGACGCGCCGGGCCCAGCGCAGTGTAAGTGATGGGGGCCGGGACCGGGCCGAGGGGGGCTCGGCGGGGCGGGCCCTGGCGCGGGCGCTGCCGCGGGGGTGGAGAGAGGGCTGGTGGGGAGGAGGGGTAGTAAGTGATGGGAGGCCGGGCCGGAGGAACCAAGGCTGCGATGCTCGGGCGGAGCCGGCGCGGGAGCTCAGAGGGGCGCGTGGCCGGCTCGTGGGGCGCCGCAGCCTCGCGCCAGCGAACGTGAGGCTTGGGTGCAAATCCTGTTTCTCCGGGCAGAGGCCACGCGGGGACGGCGGAGGCTGCGAGGACTGTCAGTCATGGAAAAACGGGAGAAGAGCCGGCCCAGCGTCACCGCCACCACTGTCACCACCATCACCCTCACCACCACCATCACTGGTCGTCGCCCATCCCACCACCCCGCCTCATCCCCCATCTCATCTCCCCGCGCACCGCCAACTTTGTCAGACCATTTCCTTTGCATCGGGTAATACTTGGACAGAATGATCGCGAGTGAGCGCGGCTGCTGTGGGATGTTTATCCAACAGGCCACTGGGCTGCCTCGGTTTTCCCGTCAGGAAAAGGGGCCTGCGATGCCGCCTCTGCGTAGCCACTAAGGTTTAATCCTGGTGCTAGAAGGGACAGAGACATGTCTTACTTGTTAACGACCAAAGAGACACCATAGTAATGTCTTCCTCAAACCAGAGACTTGGGGTTTAAAACTTCATCTCTTATCTCTTAAGTGTCAAAGTATTAATGGCAAATGAAAACTTAAAGAAATGAAACTTTGACCAAACTATTCCAAAAAAGAAGCAAAATCAGGTATTTTGTAGGAAAACCACTTCAGCTTGCTAAGGGCAGTCTCAGTCCGCCGTTAGTGCTGGATCTCTGGTGAGGCTCATTATTTTGGATGCATAGCGTGTACCCCCGGGTGCTTCTCACCCCACCGGAAGAATGTCTTAATTACTGGGTTTCAAAACTGTCTTTTGCCAGCTCAGCACAGAATAGTGGGGACAAACATTCCTAGAGTGGGCCTGGGCACCTGCCTTCTTTTGAAGACACAGTAAGATCCTAAGCCCATTCTTTATTTCCCTTCTTGTTATTGGAATTTTAGGGACACTCCACTTGGGTTGCCACATGGTAAGGGGTCAATAGGGATTTCTTTTTAAGATTCTTAATCTTGTTAATAAAAAAATGCAAGAATGAACCCAGAAGGAAACTCGAGGACAATTTTATTTGAGTTTTATTTTATTTGAACTCCAGGGCAAGCAAGGTGTAAATCTCAGCAGCTTCCAGGAAGAAGATGGAGAAGAGGTAGAGATGGCTCTCCTATACAACAGAAGTGGGACTCAGGGACAGCTTCAGAAAAGGGGAGTGAGGAAGTCCAGTGTGTTCAGGGCAGCATCCTCAGGCTTTTGGGAAGACTCTGAAAGAAGAAAAAAGATAAAAAAGAAGGGAAAAGCAAAAGTTAGGTTTTTCCAAGTAATTGAGAAAACTGAGCAGATCATAGCAGGGCCACACAGCCAGGAGTTTCTGGTAAGGATAAGTCCATTATCTCAAGAAGAAATATTTATTCCTCCCATGTCTTTGGCATGCTTTAAAGCAAATCTGCCTTCCCGAGGGCTGATCTCTTTGGTTAGGTGACCAACAGGCCTGGCTGGATTAACTTTTGTGTTCTGGCTAGCTTGGAATCTTTGGTCTCCATCCAAGGCTAGGGGTAGAGCCGACTCTGTTCCAGGAGGAAATATCTTCTCCTTAATGGCCTTGACATATCCTTGATTCAGGCTACAATAGTAGCCTGTCCTCAGAAGAGGTAGCCCTAGGTCTGTGAGGGTGGCCCTCATGATGTGGTTCACCCTGTATCCTGTACCAAGTAGGGAAAATGGCGCTGTTAAAAACGTAGGGGCAAGAGCAGTCAGCATGCTTTGTGTACGTGTGTGAAACTGTCCATGGACAGACTTTTAACTCATCAAAAAGAGAAATAATTTTACGACATAAAATAATAATAACAATAACAAGGATCTAGCTGAGCAGTACTTGTCACTGGTGTAGTTGGAAATACCTCCGACCTTGAAGTGTAATTGTGCCTCATGGACTCAGACCTCCGCAGTTTATGAAATGGGGTTTCAAAGTAGTAATTTTGTGGAGAAAGGTTGTTCTTGTCTAAAAAGTGTTTCAAGTCCCAAATTTAAGTGAGGCATAGTCAGGCATACACAGGCATGTTTCAGAGTAGAAACTTACAGAGCTACCCTACTGTGTCGTAAATTCCACTCTTTGGGGGAAGAATTAGCATCTTAATGGGCCGTCATGTCTTTGCCTGTGTTTTAGTCTTTGCTGCTGCTACAACTAAATACCTGTGACAAACTACTTTATGAACAACAGGCATTTACCCACTGGCAGTACAGTCAAGACCCCAGGTTAGTGTCTCTGATTCGTAGATGGTCCCTTTAGTTAGTCCTTCTGTGACACAGGAGCCTAGGAAGCTCCCTCTGGCATCTTACAAGGGTAGCAGTTCCGTTCCTTAGCGTGAACTCTTGCTCATTAATCACCGCCTAGGAGTCCAAGTGCATTGAGGGATAGCATTCAAGGTGTGAGTCCAGGGAGCACCCGAACATTCCATCCGCAGAGGGCCACCGTGGAGTTCTCTTGTAGAGAATGTGGTAGATGTTTTTAGCTTGTGTGAGTTTTTATATCCCCACTCAAGAAATAGGCTACAAATTAAAAACAATGTGTTTGTTTTGTTTTGGAGTTTGGAGTGCTGGGACTTGATCCCCAGACCTCGTGTGAGCTGAGCATACACTCTTTCCACTGAGCTACAGCGCCACGTTCTCCTCTTTTCTGAAGTATTTCCATACATCACGTGCCACTCGATGCACATCCTGCCTTGTGACCCTTCTTAGTCAGGACGCCTTCAGATTATAGTCACTTCTTGACTTTTAAACAATACAGAAAAACAGTTCTTTTAAAGTAATCTCTAAATGTTTTAAAAATTTATTCCATTAAATCTACTTGGCTCACTAAGGGTGCTGGCCCGGCGTCCAATGTTTTTTTTTTTTTTTTTTGTTTTTTGAGACAGGGTTTCTCTGTAGCTTTGGTGCCCGTCCCGGAACTAGCTCTTATAGACCAGGCTGGCCTCGAACTCCCAGAGGTCCGCCTGCCTCTGCCTCCCGAGTGCTGGGATTAAAGGCGTGCACCACCACCGCCCGGCCTGCGTACAATGTTGTATAGATATGGGCCTTGTTAGGGTCAGAATGGAGAACCAATAACGTGTGGGCAGTGCCCACCAGATTCGGGGTGTAGGACTGGAAAGGAGGCAGATTGTAATGGAGTTCTGTTTAGAGGCGGAAATGGGAGGCTCCCAAGGAGCTGTGAGCTTTTCAGCTGGAAAGAGAGACGTGAGTATTGACCAGCTCTAACACAGAAGGAAAAGGGAAGGCGTTCTGCATGTGGAGGGCCTGTCTGAAGTCATTGGCTCAGAAGAGCAGAGAGACAGAGGACTGAAGTCATTAGAGATAGCTGAGGTTTGGGGGTACAGGGACCGTCAAGTACATGCTCAAAGGTCTGCCCTTGGCGGCTTGCAGCACTGCTCCAGGGGCTGGGACGTGGCAAGGAGACAGCTGAGGAGCTGGCTGGCTGATCAATCATTCCCAGATAAGGAGGTGTGGATGGGTGGATGCTTGGGCGTCCGTCCAGCTTAGGGATAGGACAGCTCCCTGGGTGGTGGTGACGGATTTGAGGTTAGAAGGGAGGATTAGCACAACCTCATGTTTGACAGGGGAAATTCATGGCTGACTCTTGGAAAATGCATGATGAAAACCACTGGAGATAGGAAGGAAGAACCTCGTTTACATGATACTTTGGGCTTTGTAAAACTGCGTTTCTTTCTGATTGACAGCAGCAATTACACCTGAAGGGCGGGCCGTGCGATAAGTCATGCCACCTGTAGTATGCAGTGATGCGTTGAGAGTAATCGACTTAGTATCTCCATTTCCTTGCCATTTCTTTCTGTTGCGTGCCTCTGGTTCTTCATAAACATGGAGCAGGGGGCTTTTGGGAGCAGATCTACTCCTCAGTGCTATACAACATTAGAACGTCTCCCTCCCATATAAGCACACTTTAGAAGGGCACGTTCAGCTTCTCTTCCCCTGATGCTCTTCACTTTGTTGTTGTTTGTTTTTTGAGACAGGTTCTCACTATGTAGCCTTGGCTAACCTGAAACTCACTACATAGATCATACTGACGCCAAACTCAGAGATCTACCTCCCACCTCAGCCTCCCGAGTGCTGAGATTAAAGGTGTACACCACCACACCTGGCTTATCTCTCTCTTTTTTTTTTTTTTTTTTTTTTTTTTTTTTTTTTTTTTTTGAGACAGAGTCTCACTCTGTAACCTAGGCTGGCCTGGAAATCGCTGTGAGTGAGCCCTCTTGCCCCCATCCCTCAAGCACTGAAAGTTGAGCAGAAGCCATCCCATCTGGCTTCGACACATCCTTTTGTCAATGTGTGTGACTTCGCTTGCTAGTTAGCATGTGGGGCATTTGGAAATGGTATCTACTAGGAAGTCCTCTGAAACACATAATGATTGAACATATTCTCTGCCAGCACGCTCTGTTACTTGAGGGGCAGCCAGGGAGGAGATACAGCTCTGGAACGACGGGGTTCGAGTGTGAGTCAGGGCCTCCAAGGGAAGCGGGGGCTCATGGAGATGGCAGCGCAGGAGCAGCGGGAGCCAGAGTGAGGTCTGAGGAGCACTCAGAGGAAAGAACTGTTCAAGTTTGATTTTCACTTGAAAATTTCAAAATTGAAAATGCCAGAATTTCTTTGGCCTGTTTGGGTTTCTTTCCTTCTCCTTTGTATACTGCTTGATAACCGATTTGAGTTCTGTCTGCTCCGGTTTTGGAGATTTTGCTGACCTACTGAAGCCCTTCCCTTTACGGGGGACTCTAGATCCTAAAGCACCCACAACCATCGCCTCTTCAGCTCTGAAATCCGAGACAGCTCTATCCTGCGGATAAGTGGATCTCAGCTCCGAACCGTTAGGCACATGAATTAGCATCTCCAAAAAGCTGCAGAACTGTATTGGGGAATGGACTTCTGAGTATTTGAACTTGTTCTTGTGGAGCGCCTGGGAGTGTGTGCCCTCTGTGTCTCAAGTGCTCCAGTTACACAACTGCAGTCACTGTACTTGTGACGGATTCAGGAAGGGAAGAGCTTTTAGGGACAAGGGGATTTTGTGTTTCTTATTTTTCTTACCCTCTGGTTGTCAGCTTACCAAGTTTGCTATTTCAGTTGTCAAAAAAAAAAAATTAGAGCATATTGCGTTATTTTGCTGTGGTCAGGGGAAAACCATGGTAGGTGGGGGAGACTGGCAGAGGCTTCACTCGTATTTCTGTCCCAAATGAAGACCTCGCTGTTTGTGAGGATAAAGTCTGGTGGGAAGGGCCTAGGACTTTGGGTGTAGAGAAAGCATTCAGATAGCGAGCGGATGGATGGATTAGGAAGGTGGGCGGGTTGA